CATTGGGGAAGTTTGTTTTTCCTACGGAAGAATCATTCAGCAAAAATTAGGTCATTGTTAAAAATCCAATTCCATTCTCTAATCTTTTTCACCATAACACTTAAAGACGCTTCTCTGTTGGTGGAAGTGGTGCATAGGCAGGAGTGGGGGTTTGAAGCCATTTCACAATTATTTCTAAAATATGTTTAGTTGGTAACTGTGCATCTAGTCCATTAGGCATTTGAACAAGAAAAGCTTTGTGGGCCACTGTTCTGATCTGGAAATGGCAGTTAAGAGGCTTTAAGAGGAGCCCTACAGGTTCATAATTAGTCAGTTTGATAGAAAGGCTTACAGAGTTACCATGATGCACATGCAAGCAAGAAAGGGGAAACCAATGACAATAGGACTTTCTGTAGGGAAGCTTAAAATGATACCTTTGTTTAAGCATTTAGAGGGAAAACGAAAACCTGGTTAAAGAAGAATTTTTTGTAGCCCTTGCATGACAATTTTTAGATGAGGGAAATGCTACGTTGTTTATCCAGTAGGATTTAAATATGGAAAAGTATCAGAAGTTTTAATATTAACTTTGCTGTTATACCTAAAAAATTGAAGGGGTGGGATTTTTTAACTTTTTTGAAGGGTGAATTTTTAGAAGAGAGGGTCAAGGCATCCTGTGAAGAACTATTGATTTTTATCAGGTACAGAATTGTTTGCAGAACCTTATGCCACTGTTCATTAACAAACATGTAGACAGCTGGACCCTCCAGTGTCACATGACATATCTGAAGGTCAGCTAAAGCAAGTATGAGACAATGTGGTCACTTTTAGTTTAAAAATGGTAACAAAACAAAGAACTTCACTCCTCAAAACAGATGAGGAGTTGACACTCTGTGAGCTGTCATTTTGATAATGTTTGTAACCGTGACTCGTACCTGCCTGTAAAATGTCAAAGGTTCTCTTTCAAGTGTTTGATTGTCGGTCTGGTTTATATCCCAATTTATGTTGGGTAAAAATAACCCCATGTTTAAAATATCTGTATGTACATTGATAGCAAATTGAAATAATATTGAAATAAACATTGAAAAAATGTTTAGGCATCAATTTAAGCAATTCTTGAATTGTAATATTCATAACTTTTCTGTCTCTCAGATTCAGAGAAATAGCAGGGGCCTTAGAAGAAGCACTTTCAGACACACTAGAGGAAGCACCAGGTAAACTTTTATTGCAAAAAATAATTTTTCTATTGTGAAGGAATCAGTGGTATAAGTAGCAGTGGTTATTGTCTGTCTGTGGCATATTTGGTAGCACACATCCTACGGGTTCACATGAGCTTTCTGTTTTCTGATTGATTAAACAGTAGAATACCTTTTTATAGAAAAGGCAATATGAGAGTAGTCTTTAGTGATCACTTACTAAATACACCCCTTTTGGCAGCAGCTATTAACATATTTGTGGAACTGCCCCCTCAGTGCAAGAAGGAACCAAGTTGGCATTTGGTATCCTCTAAGTGACAACCAAAAGGCTGTGCTATGTTATTGGGGCATATTTTTCTTGATTGTCATGGGCTATGTAAAGGCAAAAATGGATGTCTGGTGGCAACGTTTAGGCTTGCTGTGTTTTATAGTGTTGGTTTCTGCTCCAAAAACATACATTGATTTATGAGCAGATGAGGAGGTATGCACAGGAAGGATTAGAGTGGAAGAGAAAACCTGGTATATTCATTAGAAGTATATTGTAATCAGAAAAACTGGCTTCAGCCAACAGAGTAAATACTTAAGAAGAAAGCAGCTAAGAGCAACATAAATACGTGTGTGTGTGTGTGTGTGTGTGTGTGTGTGTGTGTGTATATACACACACACACACACAGAGTGCTCTCTGAAGAGACCAAGGAGAAGAAAATCCTAATGGAGACAAAATGCATAAATCCTAACTCTTCAAGACACTTGCCTGGAACTTGCAGACACATTCCTTAGCTCTCAAATTGTATGCTGTAGAATGTTAGTGCATGAACTGCTTTAAAAGTATTCAGTTTAAATATGGGTATTCCTACTGTGTTTTAAATAAATATTGCTAGGATATAGCTGAAATGTAACTGTGACAGAAGCAGTAGTTCAGTGCTAAGGGAGTATTACTGTTATGGCTGGCAAGCATGTCTAATGTGATTTCTTCATAAGACAGCCAAAAATTATCCCGGAAATGTTATTTCCTGAAGTGGATTATTTGGCCAAGCTGTTCCTGCCTTTTTTGCATTTGTTGCTTTTGTCTGCAGAGCTACAGCGAGACTTAGTGGAATTTGAAATCTAAAGCAATGAGGAGCTAATACTTTAAGAGTTTATTCAGACAATGCTTAATAAATCCTCTTTGCTATCTTGGTGATTGTGCCTTTGGAAGACTTTTTGGTTTTTTTACTCTTTTTTTTAATCTCAGGTAATGCAATTACATTGATGTTACATCTTTTAAAAATGTGCTTAGGAACCTGACTTTTGTCTGGTTGTTTCTAGCTGGCAGCTCATACTGTCTTTTGGCCACTCACATGGTCTGGACAAGTCTTGTGAAGTGCTGGTCAGATCAAATGTTTTTACCATTATTAGCACACCGTCTGTGGAAACTTAGTTTGCAAATTCTGGCACGCTACTCTGTGTTCATCGCTGAGGTAAGAGAACAGCCTGCTTATGGCTTTGGTGATGGGATATGCCCATCAGTAAGAGACCTTTTGAAACAAAGTATGTGATGTTTCTGTAAGCGCTTTTTGTCTGAACTTAACATTAACAAGAACACTTCGTGAGTTTGTTTTATAAAAAGTATCACTGCAAAATATCTAATTAACCACAAATATCAGTGCTGCTGCAGTATCACTGTCTGATGGTTGCAAAGGCTGTACTTCCATGTATGCTTAAGGCTGCCTCTGCCACTGAAAGAAGCAGCCACAATTTTGGTTCTGTTCTGTTTGTTTAAGTGTTTACTCATTGATGCAGTGAACAAGATGGTGAAAACAAACCCTGGGTAAAAAAAAAAATAAGGGGGGGTGGGGGGGTGGGGATGAGTTAATCCAGATCAGTTACCCTGTGTTGAGACTGTAAAACTGGAAGTTTCATGGACAGCTGACTCAACATTGGTAATTCCCTGCTTCTGAGCAGGAGAGGTTGTGCTTTGCTTTTCTACTCCCTGCTCCCAGCCATAGAAGTTTCCCCCTGTTTCTTGTATCATAGAAAGACAGCATGATAGAATAATTGGGGTTTAAAGGGACTTCTAGAGATCATCTGGTCCAAATTCCTGCCCAAAACAGGGCCAGCTTAGGTAAGATTGTGCAGAACCTTTAACTGCCTCCACTGTTTAGGCTTCACATCTCAATTTGATTTTTCAGGTTTCTGTAAGGCCCATTTCCAGCGAGAATACAAAGGAAAGCAAAAAATCTGTGGCAGCTGGTAGAAAGGAATCTTCTGTAAGCCTCAACCCTGGTGAGGACCAAGGAAATGGGTCTTCCCCAGAAAGTCAACCATTGACTTCTATATCTAGTACTCAGTTGGTATATGTTGCTGCAGATCTGGACAAACTCCAGGATCAGGTTTGTGCTTGTGACTTACAAAAAAGTCTTCCTTGATCAATGCACCAGTATTGTTTGGCATCTTGTTAAGGACATGAAATTGTTTAAAATAATGTGTCATAAAGCTATATTTTATCTTAAATGCTAAAACTGGAGTAGTCTGATAGAGAAAATATCACCTGAAATAAGTGGTCTACTCTATGCTTATTTGGAATGACAGATTACAGAGAAACCCCTTCAGGTATTTAAACTCTTTTTATCAGCAGCTGCTGGACTTAACCCCTAAAATAATGTCGCTGCTCATTTTTGGTGCAAAGCATCACTGTCCCAGAGTCTTACCTTTGCTAGTAAAATCTTCTTTACAGCTTGGAGTGTGGTGCAATGTGCAGCTTTAATATTATGTTTTCTTTTAAATGCTTACTGGGTTTAGTCTTTGAGATTGAAAAAAGGTTTTATCATGATTATACTTTACTAATGATCCAGAATCTTGAAAAGGGACGTATGGTATTGATTTTCTTTCAGTGGGGATGACTTCTATGTATTTTCTGTCATAAGGCTGAAATTTCTGTAATTTGTGAAGTTGTAAGTTGCATCTGGATTGATAATATTTTGCTAATTGTAAATTATTTCCTCTGAGGGCAATAGTAAGGTAGGGAATTTAGTGCATAGGCCTGCAAATATTGCATTCTAGTACTGTTTTCCCATAAACTCAGTAAAAAAATATAAAAGATTGAGGTGTTTTGATGCACTGAAAACTTACAGAACGTAGGAAAAGTAATTATAATATGTTTATAATATGACTCTATCTCTTTTGTTTTTTTCCTTCAGATTCCTGACATCTTAGAAATGATTAAACCAAAACTTGAAATGATTGGCTTCAAGAATGTACCTTGTATTGCAGGTAAAGCTGAGAGGCTGAATTCAGTCCCTTTCCCTATTCCCCCAACAACCCTCTACTAACCAAACAAAATCAGCTTTTACATGCAGTTTAATTATTTACAATGAAAAATTTGAAAATACTAGTGTTTTTATTACTTAATTAAGCTGCTTTAGGTTTAAATTGTTAAATGGAAATTGTCTTGAACAGACAGTAATTTGGATGCTTTTCCAGGAAGTGGGGGACCTTAGACTAGAAGATTCATATTATATCTTGTAAAGGAAATGGGGAGGAAGTGAGGCTTTTCATTACCAATTGAAACTAAAATATTTTTCTAAAAAGACTTTTTTCCCTCTGGGCTGATGAATGATGTAAGGAGGACAGTTATCAAAGTTGCATAGTTAAATACCTTAACTTCAGAGGACAGTAGCAATTAAGTATTTTAGCCTCTTTTTTCTGTTTTTGTTTGCGTGTTGTTTTTTTTTTTTTAATCTGATCACTCTTGGTGTGAAACATGGAGTTTAATTTTAATTTAGTAATTAAAGCCAGGCATGTAGTAGCTGGGCAAGTGAGCTAGTCCCTGTCTTCAGGTGTAGCCAGAAGTTCTGTGCTGTGAATTCCACTTAAATCTCTAAATCAGGATTGTTGGTGGATGTCCAAGTCCATAGGAGAGGTAGGAGCTTCTGCACTTCCCCTACTCGGTAGATCATTGGTTGTCAATCACAGCTTTGAGTTGAGCATGTTCCAGTCACTCCATAGGGAATTTAGGTACTGTGAGAAAGAGTTTCCCAACCACAAGTTTCCTTGGTAGGTCAGAACCTTATGATTCAAGCCCCTTGCTACTGAAAAAACTGAACCTGGAGGATGTTATTTTACTCCTTTTCTCTTCCCTTCATCTGTTTTTCTGGATGAGAAATGGCTGATTTTACTGGAGATGTTTTCTAAATGGCTTGTGTGTTTTTTATTTAGTAAGCATCCTATATTTGACACCAGCAGCCTTCTAGGATAGTGAGTGAGATTGGGATGATGGGGGGTTCATATAATTTATATTGTGATTGGGCAGGGTAGCTCATTTTAAACTTTAGCATTTTTACTTCAATAGGAGCCTTGGAAGACTCAAAGACTTCTTTATCAGCCTGTGTGCCTACCTTGAATAACAGGATTATCCAGGATCTCAGTGAGTCTTCCTTCGCTTACCTGAAAAGTGCACTGGAAGTTCCAAGATTATATAGGAGAACCAATAAGGTCAGTGCTGGCTACAGATGAAAAAACAAATCTCAAGAAGGCCTATGCTAAGGATGTTAGCCAGGCAGTACATTTATGAGTTCTTCAGGCCTGTCCATATCTGATTGGCAGTGAAGAGCTTCATTCAATACATGGAGATAATTTAGTGATTTACTGTTTATATCATTGAAAAGGAAAAAAAAAATGTTTTTTCTAAATTTCAGGTAGTGTAACAAAGATGAGGTCACAGGCCTGAGATAAAAGGAAGAGCAGGGAGTAGAACTATTGATGTGCAAAAGAAAAAGGGTTAATGAGAATAAATGTTTCCCTCATGTCATAGCATATACCATAAGATGCAGTGCTGCTGAGTGGCAGGCTTCTTCTGGGGGGATGAGACTTCTGCCTGCTGTGTCAAAAAACTTCCTCTCAGTGTGCTGACTGCTTGGATTTGATTAAAGAAATATCTTAAACAGAAGGAACGAGATGAGAATGGCTAAAAAGACTAATTTTTCAAGAAACTAATGAAAAGTAATGGTGACATATGGTACCAGAAGTGATTGTCTGATCTTGACTTGTTCTACAAGTGTGACTTGCCTTTGTCAGTCTGCACAGTCATGTTGGTAGTTAGCTGGGTATCATTCATGCAATGGGGAAAAAAAAAAAGTAACAGTGACCACAGACTACTACATCCTTGCCTAATGTGAACACAGAAAGCAGGCTGAAATGGGCAAGGCCCATTGTTTGTGGGGTGGTTTTTGTTGGCAGTGGGAGGAGGGTTGCCTTGTCTCACCAAAATCAAAACCACTTTCCTGGCTATCACAAAGAAACTGCGCTGCCACTAGCAGTGCTGTACTTTTTCAATGACTAAATGGAAAAATTCAGAGCTATTAAGTCTACTTCTTTCAAGGTTATTAAATTTTCTTTGGTGGTGAGCACTCAGGATAAGCTGGAAGACAAATTGTTCCTAAGGGAGTATTTTATTACTTCAGTTTATTATTAGGGTTTCTCGCTATCTTAATTTTAAGGACCTACATAATCAGAAATTGTATTTAAAAAGAAGAAACAACCTCAAGGCTAATAAATTCATCTATGTAGCAACTAGATTGTTCTGTCTGCCACACAGAATATTGTTAAAGTTAAGAAGAGTAGAACAAAGTCTAAGGAGGGTAAAAAGCCCAACAACCCTACACTGCTTAGCTCAGTTGTCTGAAAGCAAACTCTGCATAATGATTTAGTGGACTGCCATCATGTCTCGGTTGTCCATGAGATGTTTAAGCAGACAGGTGCCAAAACAAAGACATAGGACCTACCCACCTTCAGTTCAGACAAGTTGCTAGCTTGAACTCTGTACTCCGAGTGTAACTGCAGTGCTCTCTTGGCCATCAGTCTAACTGACTTTGTGTGGTGCAAAGCCTGAACTGATAAACAGGAGTGAGACGACTTGGGTAGAGAAGGTACATTATTACAGTCATGTTGAGTTCTGGCAACTTTATTTTTACTATGTTCTAATACTTTGATTTTTCAGCAGAATTCAGAATGTGGCATGAGGATAGTCTTTGCAGGGATCAGATGTGCAAAGACACCTTTGCATGGCCAAGTTCTAAGATTTGGAACTCTAAGAGGTTAATGAGGTATTTCAGGTGTGAAGAGATTTTATATGCTCTGGATATGTTCTGCTGCTTTGCAATGCATGAGGCTCGCCCAAGCTATATGTGGATCATACCTGGAGAGATGAAGCATTCTGCAACCAAAACTAGCTGAGAAAAAGGTAGTGAGGGGATATTAATTATCCCAAAAGCATTCTTCTGGAAAACATACTGAAGTAGCAGGATGGTATAAGAACAGAGGAACAATGTCTTCGGTTTAGTGAAGTATCGTATGAGGGAGGAGATATTTTTACAAAGATACGATGGGCTGTTGTGGACACCGAGTCTGCTCAACTTCCTCGGAAATCAGCGTGAGCAGAAGGTGCGTTCAGGATCATGCCCTGATAACAGGAGTGGCACCTCTTAAAAAGCTTTGGTCATTTTCAACCTTGTTCTATATTATATCCCATGGTATAACACTACTGAGTGATTTTGTGATGGTCTTTCCTGTGTATGACGACCTCTTCATTGGTATGTCATGAATGGAGCATGTATCTATTTGCTTAGGTACAGGCTTAGCATTTTATATATGTGCTATAGTTCGGTGTTGATGCATTCAGTAAGTAAATTACTTACTTTTTACCCACCTTGTTTCTCTGTCATCTGTCAGGAGGTGCCAACTAAAGCTTCACCTTATGTTGACAGTGCTCTTAAGCCCTTCTACCGACTGCAGAACGAATACAAAGATATATTGAAGCAGCCCATGATTCATCAGTGGTTGGAAGGTGCCCTCTCTGAAAGCACACAGAGGTAAGAGAACCCTACAGAACATTCTTTGCAATAATTAAAAATTCCAGTGTCTGTCGAATGAGCACAGGAAAAAAACAAAAGACTAGAAATTAACTGTAAATAAAACAAGAATATAGCCCTTTTTTGGCAGGGTATATTTCTTCATATTTACTCTGGTGTTGTGTATTCAGCAGATGAAAAACAGGTCAGGGAATCCAGAGACCTGACTTCTCCTCAGATCTGTGCAAACCGTGGCATTGTGGATAAGGCATTTGAAAAATTGTTTAGCTCTAGGAATGCAACAGTGAATTAAAAACTTGCATTTTTGTCTCAGAATTGACATAAGACCTTAACCTCATATTATTTTCCACGAACGATGGTCAATTTTTTAAGAAAATCGAGTTCTATTTTCCTTTGACTTTTTTAATGTATGTAACGATTATCCAACTTTTTAGTGGTTTTTAAAAAACACCTTTGGATTTTTTTAGCTCTTGAAGAGTAAACTGTTCACAGTTTAATAAGGCAGTCATAAAGCAGTACTCACTTTAATAGATCTTCTGTTTCCTAGTTAGCATCTTGAGGACTTCTTGAGCATGAATATCTATCTGTATTAAGTTCCTTAATGGATTTTGTT